AGCCACTGCTTGAAGGCAGAAGTGTGATAAAAGAATAGATAGACAGAGCTTCCATATATCAGTCCGTCTATCCATCACGAGTCTAAAAACATCGGACAGGAGTGATATGGATGGCGGCTGTTTACAGTGAAGTGGAGGACATATTCCCCCTGCTGTCTCGTTTGAGGATGGCTGTAATCCGTCGTAAACCACTCTCGTGCACAAATCCTCTTAACACTAGATTAGCGTACATGACCAAAGGCATCCGTGGACTTACTTCAAAGTTAAAGTTAATATAAATAAAATCGGGTTAAATCCAAATCACAATTTGGTTTCCCCCTTTCTGCCTCAATTCAAAATAAATTTAAAAACAGAAATCTAAGAGGACATAATAAAACCCTGATAACACATCTGCTATAATATAATGAAATATTTACCCTTTTATTTTTTTTTATGTATTTTAGTCAGCAAAACCTCAACCCTTAACAATATCATGTTCACCAATCTATAACCGTTTGCTGATTAACAGAAGAAAATAAAATACTATTTTTATAAAAAAAAAAAAAATCAAATAAAAATGAGAAACAAGAGAAACTATGGATGTGAATGTTGACTACCCTTTTTAGAAACAGCTTTATATACAGTAGGGCTATTGTGAGTCTGTTGGCTTATCCAGCTATGGGGTAGATGAGGTGAGACCATCCCTGTCTTTCACTTTCCAAGTAAAAATTCACTCAAAGCCCTTGTCTGAGAGTTAAACCATTGTAAGCATGTACCCCTAGATCAGTCGTCTAATCCCGGAGCTTTACCTCACGTCACGTACCTCTGTGTCCTTCCCTCTCTATGTTTAAGAGTGGAGGCTGTCCTCATACTGACCTATGACCAGCCTTAGCCTTGCTGGAACTAACATCATTGATGAAACCTAAAGCAAAACTGATTCCAGATCAGGGAGCAATTTCTGCTAAAAGCAACAATGCTTAGCTTTAAGCAGCTTGTGTGTGGATTGTTCGTAGCAAAACTAGTAGCTCTTATGTGCAGGGTTCACAGGTCATTTCATTTATCACTCTTGTCCTCAGGCGTAGGGCACTGCTCTCTGGCTTTACCTGCTAAAACAGACAAAATAAAGCACTGTGGCTATAAAGATATGGTTTCCAAAAGTAATGCTATAAACCAGGGGTTTTCAAACTGTTCAATGCCAAGGAGCTGCTGCATAAAAGCAGCTATACTTCATGTATATTTCATGTATACAAAACACAATTAATACTGTGTATAAAAAATAAAAAAAATTAAAATGTGTGATCTTATAACAACAGGTTTTCAAAATAGCTTTTATATTATGACTGTACTAAAGCCAAAACATATAATTAAAATATTATTTGGAATATATTTGTTTTAACAACATATCATTTTCTGCCAAATATTATAATATAAGATACATATTTTCAGAAATAATTTCAGTTAAATTGAAATATAATTCAAACGTAATATGTATAATACACTTAATTATCAGTCCAAACCAGTATTATGGAAAATAGTCACAAGTGAATAAGCTAAAAGTGAGAAATTTTGAAGAATGAGAGATTAGAATAGATATCAGTCTAAAATCTCTAACTACTATAACCAGTGACCTTTTAACTCTAAAGGCTTTTGATGAGCCCTTTGATGACTTGTGCATTGAACAACATCAGTGCGTTGAACTTCAATGCATTGACAGTGTCTGACGTGAGTGAGTTTTGGGCTGGACTGTTGCTTGCTGACCACTAATAGGTGTCGTTATTATTGATTATTATTATTTTCGGTAACACTTTAGTATAGGCACCCATTCTCACTATTAACTAGATAACAACAGGTTTTCAAAATAGCTTTTATATTATGACTGTACTAAAGCCAAAACATATAATTAAAATATTATTTGGAATATATTTGTTTTAACAACATGTCATTTTCTGCCAAATATTATAATATAAGATACATATTTTCAGAAATAATTTCAGTTAAATTGAAATATAATTCAAACGTAATATGTATAATACACTTAATTATCAGTCCAAACCAGTATTATGGAAAATAGTCACAAGTGAATAAGCTAAAAGTGAGAAATTTTGAAGAATGAGAGATTAGAATAGATATCAGTCTAAAATCTCTAACTACTATAACCAGTGACCTTTTAACTCTAAAGGCTTTTGATGAGCCCTTTGATGACTTGTGCATTGAACAACATCAGTGCGTTGAACTTCAATGCATTGACAGTGTCTGACGTGAGTGAGTTTTGGGCTGGACTGTTACTTGCTGACCACTAATAGGTGTCGTTATTATTGAATTTTCGGTAACACTTTAGTATAGGCACCCATTCTCACTATTAACTAGTTGCTTATTAGCATGCATATTACTAGCATATTGGCTGTTTATTAGTACTTATAAAGCACATATTGCTCATGACCATATTCTATATCCTTAATCCTACCCAAGATCTAAACTTAACGACTACCTTACTAACTATTAATAATCTGTAATTAGGAGTTTATTGAGGCAAAAGTCATAGTTAATAGACTTGTGCATTGAACAACATCAGTGCGTTGAACTTCAATGCATTGACAGTGTCTGACGTGAGTGAGTTTTGGGCTGGACTGTTACTTGCTGACCACTAATAGGTGTCGTTATTATTGAATTTTCGGTAACACTTTAGTATAGGCACCCATTCTCACTATTAACTAGTTGCTTATTAGCATGCATATTACTAGCATATTGGCTGTTTATTAGTACTTATAAAGCACATATTGCTCATGACCATATTCTATATCCTTAATCCTACCCAAGATCTAAACTTAACGACTACCTTACTAACTATTAATAATCTGTAATTAGGAGTTTATTGAGGCAAAAGTCATAGTTAATAGTTTGTTAATAGTGAGAACTAGACCTTAAAATAAAGTGTGACCGAAGTTTCATTTGGTGACACAAGTGGTGCAGAAATTACAATTTGGTTTTGAAGTATTTCTGCGTTGATAGCGATTGTCCAGTGAAGCAGACAGTTTATGATAAGATTTAATATATTTTTGTCAACAGTGTTCAAGCCTGCACTGACTCGCATTTGACACGCTGTTGACATGTATGTGTGCGCATGCATACACGAGCTCTTATATTTTGTGGATAATCTGGAATAGGTGGGATTTAAACGAGGGATGATCTGGGGTAAAGCACAGATTTGGACGGAACATTCCCACAGATACCAGCTACTGACTAAACAGAGAGGACGGTGTCACATGGACTAGATAACATCATCACGAACATCTATGTGCCTATGGGTTATTTTAGGGCTGTTAATAATTGAAAAATTTTAAATATTGCGGGACACACTAATTGACTAATCAGATCATTCTTTTGCTCTCAATCTATACGCCATTGAATTCAGGAATGTTTCTTGTGAGCAGTACTTGGGCTAGGATCGTATTGTCCAATGGTAGGAAAATCGCATTTACATACAGTTCAGGGCAGGGGTTCTTTTTTTTTATATATATAATAAATAATTGTAATAATAAGTTAATATGCTAAAATGACAGTCTTAGTTTTACCTAATTATCCTCAGTGATTTTCTTGTCTCCAGTGGTCATTCTATGGTCCAGATGTATGCATGGTGGCTTATAAAAATGGTTGTTTCTTGTGTATTCTGTGATACATAATGTATTTACATGCTATGGCATACTTACTATTTATATATGCCATATTGATAAAGTACTACTTTGAGCATGCAATCAGTTTTGCACGCATTGCATCTCTGACATCTCTATGACCTTGTTTGATGGATTAGCCTCATTACGGATGGAGGTACAGCATGTATGCATTGATTTATGTCACATTACATTTCATTGCTCAGAAACGCTTAAACATTTGATTCAGGATCAACAGTTTCTCTACACATGTAGTCGGGTGTTTCTTCAACTATTGGCACTTTTGACCCTGTTGACAAGCATTCAGTGGTGGAAATGACATTTAGGCAGTTTTGGGATCATTTGATGGACTCCTTTGTCCAGCTAAGGTTAATTTCGTAGCTATCATTTCATGTATCCTAAATATACCCAATTAAATAGCATTTTTTCTGTTTTTGACCAAATATAGCTTAATTGGAAATGTATTTTTTGTATATATAAATCATTAAGCAAACCGTTTCAATATTCTTTGTTATTTTACTCTTTGTTTAGACTTTCGTAGTTTTAAAATTATATTTTTATGATAGATTTTTATAGATTGAAAGTCTGTGTAAAACATGGGTAAAACTGTAAAATCTGTACTTAAAAGGCATTTATAGCAAAAATAAAGTCTTAATGTGACACTTTTGTCTTGTGTTTTAGGTGTGTGTACCAAGAAAGTGGGAAATCTACGTGTGTTTCTGCTGGTATGTGGACTCAGACGAGTTAAGGATCCTTTGTATCTTCTAGAACCTTTTGCAGGTATTACTTTTTTATAGGATCATAGTTCAACCTCATTCATTGTGCAACATGAAATTGTGACTGTTGTTCAATTTTAAAATAATTATATAAACATATATAAACAATTAAATTTGATATTTTCTCTTACAGAATGGCACAGTCAGAACCCCCTAGTGGTCCTCATCATCATTGGTCCAAAGGTAAGCAAGAAATAGTGTAGTGTCTAGTTTAGGGCAACAACTAGAGGTCCACAGGCCAGACCCAGCCTGTCAAATTCATTTTTATTTTTACAAACTTTTGATTTTTATTAAATTCCTGCTCTTCGGCTACACATATTCAAATGCATCTGATAAAATTTAATGATATTTATTTATTTATTTGTACTTATTTATTTATTTATTTTTTGACGTTACCTGGTCCTAATTTTTAGAAAATATGATTTCTGACTTGCCAGCTTATTGCGTGCACTTTTGGTTACATGTAACATATAAAATTATAAAAAGTATAAAAATATTTTTGCTTCAGTTTTATTGATGTTTTTATCTATTTCTTTTCTATTTCTATTCTATTTTTCTTTTCTCATATTGATTTATTTCTAATTCCGTAAATATGTAAAATAAATACGTTTAATTGCAGCAATGGTTTTGCATGTGATATTTACTATCTATAATTAAATAGTGTGATATCATGTATAGCAACTTTGTATTGGCCATTGGCCACCCTGTTCTGTGTGATATTGGCTTTGGTCGGCAAAAAAAATCAATATTGGTCGCCCACTAGTTTTTTATGCAAGTATTCAGAAATAGGAAGGTTACATAAAAAAGCATCACAGTTCAAATGGTCAGACAAAAAATGACTATTACTGATTGATTGTTTTTGTTTGGGTATGTTTGATTGTCGCATTTGCACTGTTCAGTTATGTGTAAAGCTACTCTGCTTTAAAAACATGTAGTTACATAAAAGTCAAGACACCTTTATTTATATAGCACTTTTATACAATACAGATTGTGTCAAAGCAGCTGTACAGTGTTAAACAGGAAAATAGTGTCAATAATGCAAAAATTCCAAAAAAAATTCAACAGTTAATAGTCCATTTTTTTTGTTAAAGTCATTTTTCAGTTCAGTGTTGATTCAGTGATTTCATCATCCAGCTCAGTTCAGTTCTCTTACAATACTGTCTAAAAACATTACGTCAATAGCATTCCTTTTTTTAGTTTGGTGTACTGCTGAAAAGTGTACAATGTAGGAAATTCCCTAGATAATCTATTCCTTTAAAGAAATTAGTTGATGAGCCCTGGTCTAATTATTCCAATTAACACCCCTTCCTGCTGCCGTCACCACAGGTAAAGCTGTAAAACGGTTCTGCATGTGTTGTATATCCTCTTATGTCTAGTTAACATCTCCAAAAGCCCATAACACATCCTAACATCCTTTTCAAAGAAGCTGTGTCAGTGTTGGCGCATGTGGGCAGCGTGTTTCTGTAGATTCCAAGGTAGTGCTAATTGGATGTAGCAAAGATAACAACATTAGCATGCACTAAGCTGGATTTATCAGAGGCATTTAGAGGCTCACTCGAGCTAGAGCCGTGGAATCATGCAGAGGATTGGGGCTGCGGGGGACTAGCATAAACTGTGGACTGTTCATAGACCTGCAGTGCTACATGATGCTAGGGGAGGCTTGTTAGCTGCTACGAGCTAATGGCTAGCCCTTGGCAAGCCATCTGCCACTCCAGATTATGTGCCAAGCCTAGGTGCTGCCATTCTGCCAACCCCATAGAGAGGTCACCCTCCTCCTCTGGGCAGAATCTAGTCACAGACATGGTCAAATATTTTTAAAAATAAAGAGATTTTAAAAGATTGAAAAAAAGGGAGGAGGAAACAAACAAGCCCAAGGCAAAAAAAAAAAAAAAGTTTCTGTCCCTAAGTGTGTCTAAGGTTAGAAAAGAAACAGGAACCGAACGAGTCAACACAAGACCTCAAGCCCATATTACTTCTTTTCTCAGCCATGAAAGTTTTATTGTAGAAGTCTGACTGCACATGTTCTGCTTCATTTGGGATCAAGCACCAGTGGTGTTTTCGTTCCATCATATTTTTTATTCTTTTCTGGCTGGGTGTCTGTGGCAGCCCATGGAACCATATGGTGAAAAGTTGTGAAATTTGGCACACTGATTAGTCTGGGTCTAATGGTGTGTTTAAGTCCTCCTGGGAAGTTAGTATTTACAAGTTGTTAAATTGTAATTATGATGGGTCAGATGGGTTCAAATCACTTTGGTTGGAGAAAGATGGCGATTTTTAAAGTCAGCATGAAATGAAAATTCACCCCGTTTTCTAAATGCATTTTATAGATCTTACTGTGAACAATTCATCCGTGCATACAGCAGATTTCTTTCAGACTACTCTGTGACACATGCTGGAATTTTCCAATCATTTAGGCTGCTTAAACTCCGCCCCTTTCTTATATTTGACTGAAAGCTCACATTTGTTTTCAAATGCAACGTCCACATCTCAAAATCTAATCAACAACCAATGGTTAGAACCAAGCCTCCACCATACTTCACAATAGTAAGAAAATATCTGGCGCTGCTTTCCGGTTCATTGTGACTTGTGTTGTAAACTGAATTCTTATATATCATAATTGTACAGTGCTATAGTGTTTTGTTCATTCAGCCTAGCTAATTTTATTATAAATAAAAGAAAGGGAAAAAAACATTAATTTCAACAAATTTACTCTCAAAACAGATGCTGCGTCCATTGCTTCTGCCTTGCTTTCTCATTAACAATGACCCAGAAACAAATTCTGGTCTCAAAACTCAAAAATCCAGTTTCCTCACTCGTAATTGACTTTGTGGTGGTGTTTGTGTGTGTTCAACTCTTAAATACGATTTATCTGACCATAAATAGTCTCGTGACCACCTTTGACATCTGTCACTCAAACTCTGTAACACCACAAACGGCTCAAATGTTACTGTTTCTGTCAGAAAACTGAGAGCCCGACAAGCTGTTTTCTGACGTATTTATTATTAACTAACAAATGTAACGTGTTGTTATGTAGACCTAACTAACACCATGCAACAAGGTGAGCGCGTTAACTAACACAACATTAATGGTTACCAATGTTTAAAAATATTGAGTTAATACGTCTAAAAACACAAACCAACACATTCTTACCTGTAAAAGGTTATCCCATTTCTTCTGGAATTTAAATCCCGGCAGTTTTTACAACCATAGGCTGCGCAGAATTGTGGCATCTTCGAATACTCATTGATTATTATGGAGAATGACGTCAAGTTGACCGTTGCAAGATGGCAGACATGTCAACGTGCTTGGAGCGGTCAAATGAGGAATCTAACTAGTTTCAATCAACTATCAGAATCAACTATCTTGGAAATACTTTAGTTTCTTGGAAAGTAAACCTGTTAGGAATCACTAACATTTATACTACAGACATTCATACAATATAGAATGTGCTTTTTAATAGTTGCAAAGTTTGTTCCTCTTCAGTTGTAGTACCTACTGAGGCAGTATGCGATTTTAGATGCACCTCTTACAATTTTGGATGCAAACTCTCTGAAGTGTAGCTTGAAGTATTATTTTTTTTTTTTCAGTTATTGAAGTGGTAGTTATTATTTAAAAATTAGTCTATGTTTTTCTATAACAAATGCCCATTAACAAATGTTTGTTTTAAAGAAACTTGGTAACACTTTATTTTAGGGTCTCTTAACTAGTTGCTTATTAGCATGCATATTACTAGAATATTAGCCATTTATTAGTTCTAATTAAGCACATATTAATGCCTTATTCTACATGACCTTATTCTACATCCCTAATCCTACCCAATACCTAAACTCGATAACTATCTTACTAACTATTCATAAGCAGCAAATTAGGAATTTATTGAGGGAAAAGTCGTAGTTAATAGTGAATAAGTGTTCCCTATTCTAAAGTGTTACCAAACTTTTTCTTCCATTCTCTTTTTTCCTCTAAATATTTTCTCCTTCCACTGAATGGAAACACAAACATGTACAATTCTCCAAACAGCCAAACTTTTTTTCACAATATGAGCACCAAAATATGAATCAGTTCCCCACACCATTGGCTTCCATCCTTTCTTTACACATTTCTCACCCAATCCGACCCAGCGCCTGACAACAGATCTTGTCGACTAACTCATGGTGGCTTCACTGTTCCTTCATTTCCTCCTGAACTTCGGTACCTTGAGCCTTTCAATGTGTCCTATTTCCGCAGCCACCGGAAGCCCCAGTGATTTCACCACAGCGACACAATGCTTCCTTCTGCCACACACTGACTGCCACACACTGACTTTTGTTCTGTGATGTTTCTTTGAGATTCACACATCAGGTGGAGACACATTTTCCTTTTTCTTGTCTCTTTGCGTCTTCAGTGATGTTCAAAGGCTTTCTTCTTTGAGTGTGGTTGGCTCCAGGCAAACCGATGACACTGGCAGTTGCTTACATGTTCTTGTAAGCTGTGGTGTGGTTTTGTTTGATAAGAATATCTGCAGAGTGGTAAGACTCATTGTTTCTTTGGAGAGGGGCGGGCTCATGGTGATGACATCAAATGAATCCCAGATGTCTTGTGTTTCTTTTCTGCCTCCTTTTGGCTTAATTTGAAAATAACATTTAAAGCTGCATTCCTAAAATGTGCTGAAACTTGCCTCTTTAATTACCTGTTTGTAGGTGCTTCTAATTAATGACAACTAATCGTTTTCATTTAAATTGGTCTTTATTGGTGATCAAATTCCAGTGAGTTTCTCTTTTCCACTGAGTTTATAATTTGAAATGTGTGATTCAAGATGTTAACTTATTGTTAACATTGATGAAAGGACACATATATGCAAACTTTTTAATACAATAAGCTGCCAATACTGGTTATTTTCATATTTAAGGGTTAGATAACCAATATTGACAGCATTTTTCATTTCTACCGTTCTAACTTTTGCCATTTTTATACAAGACAGCATTTTTCATTTCTAACGTTCTAACTTTTGCCATTTTTATACAAGAACATCACTGAAAACATAATATGCATTATTAATATTTTATTATTTTGTATTATTACCATTTATCAGTTGAGCAGGCTTGGGAGGGTTACTTTATAAATGTATTCCGTTTCCATTACAGATTACTTAATGAAAAATGTATTCAGTAACCTAATCCAAGCACCACAGTATGAAAGTAATAAACTATTTCATGCACTATATAAAATATTTAAGAAAACGCCATGTAGTTGTAACTATGTTGTAACTATGTATAAACCAGAACACAACAGAAACACAACAGAAATGTTTCTGCAACAGAATTGTTTTTTTCTCAAGCAAATATAATAAGAACAGATGCACTGACCAGGACTTTCTCCGTGTGGTCATCGGACATTCTGCTTCGACATGCATGGTGTTAGTACACGTCCATCTCACTTCGCTAAATTATTTCATTTATTTCAAAGGTCCTTATATAACAGGAAAATAACCCAAACCTGCAACGACAATGACCAAGCAAATAAACAATAGGATTAAAAAGACAAATTATTTCCATGTTTTTGCCACAAAATTACGTTTTATTTTGTATGGAAAGCACATACTGTCTTTCCCCGCTCTCCCTCTTAAACTCAGACACATACAAGGCGGACACACATTCGCATACACGGAAACATTCTTGCGCAGTAAAATAGTTTAGCAGTTAAAGGCTACATGACATTTCTCACTAGTGAGGTAATAAAGGCATTGTTATTCAAGCACATGAATTATAGTTTCGCTATTAGTAGAGATGCTGCTGCCGAACACTGCCAAGAGACTCGTGTACACACTGTGTACTGCACAGACTCGTGTAATTCACACACGCTTAATCTCTCTCTCTCTCCCCTCTCTCTCTCTCTCTCTCTCTCATAAATGAATTAATAACTGCATTAGTCTGACACTACGTGTAGTGGCCGCATCACCACCTCTCATTATTTTCTAATAATTCAGTGGCCTGTCCTCAATTATTCCTTACTTAAATGAAACATTTGTAATCATCATAGTATTCCCATTTTTACAAAATGTAACTATTATCTGATTACCTTGTTTTTTGACGTAACTATAACGAATTACAGTTGCCAGTATTTTGTATCCTGATTACGTAACTCTGTTACATGTATTCATATCACATATACATGCATTACTCCCCAACCCTGCAGTTGAGTAAATGTTATGCATGTCTGTACAAGCTATGAGCTAGTCAGTCATTAGTATTTTTTTTTTCAATTAAATTATTTCTCATACTGCCATCTCTTTTTCCCTCCTCCCATTGAGTGGAAACACAACACATAACAATCTTTTCTGAAATTCAGCAGCCAAGCTTTTTGCACAATATGAGCACCAAAATATGAACCAGTTTCCCACACCTATGGCTTCCATCCTTCCTTCATGCATGTGAACCAATCCTAGCATTTTTTAATTTGTAATTTCCAAGCATTTTTAATTTGCAATTTGAATGCTGTTTTATTTATTTTTTTAAGTATCCTGACTTGTATATTTGTGTTCAGTTAAAACTGATGAGAGGACAAAGGTTTGCTAACTTTTTGTGCAAACATGTTCACATCATATCTTTAAGGATCATGGATTTCAGCATGTCCTGTAGGAAGGACTGATCACACGGTGTGTTCTTAGCCAGCAGCTTTAGTTTAAGCAATAATCTCTAATTTTGCTATCATTTGGATTCAAATGTGCATCAAATATCACATTTCACTTAGAAAAAATTGAATAGTCAGACAGTGGAATCAAAACAAACAGGATTTGTAGAGAGGCTCTGCCACGCTCACACACTCATATCATCTTTGACCCAAATTGCATGTGTTGCGGTTGCTGCAGCCGCCCCGGCCAGCTAATACACGCAAAGCCCTCATTGTAATGAATCAGACTGAGCAACAACCCTGCCCTGACCCTAATCTCTGGAAATCTATGGGATTTTTAAATGCGTTTTTTCCCTCAGGACAACTGGCCATGTAGGAAATTATGATCAGTATGAAACTTTGTCTTGTCCACAGACCATGATTTGGTATTATTGACAGTATTTTACAGGCAGGGAAAATACAGCAAGAGGGGAAAAAACAGCAACATGGGATTTGTGCTCTTTGTTGCTTATAAGCAAAGGTAAGCCATAAGAACTTCTGCATAATAACGAAAAGACATTCATCTCATCACAATGTGACCTTAAGTTACTTTTCATGTTTCTTTTACAGCACATGGCCCCTGAGTCTCATGTGGGGAAAATGTGAATTTAAACTTATTTGCAATGTTGCTGCAGTCTAAGACTGTGTGCCTGTTGTTACTACAGTATTGGCCAGTTACACGTATTACTGCGTTCAGTACTTTCATAAATTAAGAAAAATGTACAAGGTGTTCAAAATTAGAGAATGGTCTTTTTTGAATGACCAATAGACTACTGATAGTAACAAATATAATATGCATGGTAATAATAATAATAATGCATAATAAAAATTGATTGTTGATGGTAAATGTTGGTTTCCATATGGTGGGTCTATTTCTATTCAAAACCTAATATTTCATAAATATTAACATTAATGTTGCTTGGAGACTTTTTTGATTTGTATTTTTTTTTGTTTTTTTGTTTTTTTTTAAGTTGAATGATATTTAATACAAATTTTAGGTTTTCTGTAAATCTTACGAAATAAAGTTGTCTTATGGCGTGATTGTTTCTAAACTAATTATTTCTAATCTATTTCTATTCAAAACCCAATATTCAAAAATATAAACATTTAATATTGCTTGGAGACCTTTTGATTTATTTTTAATTACATGTTGTTGAATGATATTCAAAGAGTGAAAAATTTAAGGGGGTCTGAATACTTTCCGTACCCACTGTATATTTGTAGGTTTTCTGTAAATCTTACCAAATAAAATAGTCTTGCATTTGGGGTTTTAAAGGCAAATAATGATTGTCATTCAAAATCTCATGTCTTTTTTAGATAGATCCAGTGTTTACCGCTGAGGTTGAGGAGAGTGTCAAGAGGTAAATATCATCTGACGTCTTCATCTTCCTTCCTTGATCTTCTCTTCTTTACTTTCATCTCTCTCCTTCACTCTCTGGTACTTGATCTTCAAAGTCTCCTTATTACTGCCACTAAATGCCCGCACATACACACAGGAACATTCATGCGCTTTTTGAAATATTTCTGTCGGTAATCTTTCCAGTATTTTTTAAATTCCCCTTTTAAAATAAGGAAATGCCCTCATTCTAAACTGTTCCTGGATATATTATAATGTATGTATGAGATTGTGTGTGTGTGTGTGTGTGTGTGTTTGTAGAACTGTTGGAGTGTATCTGGCGGCTGATTTGAGTCAAGAGGAGCTGCATGCTGCCATGCAGAAATCATTTGCCCTGGTCAACTCGTCTCTCTCAGAGGGAATGTCTGCTGCTATCTTAGAGGTTTGCTTAGAGAGCAATAATTTAATAGATTTTGTTTTATTACAAATTCTATTATGAGACAATTTATAACAATTTGAGTGAAATTTTAATAATAACATAAATATTAATTTCAGAATGTCTTAGAATTTGTTTTGTCCAAAAGAAACCTGTCTAGTACAATCATTATTTTGGCTATTCAATTTGGTCTCACTAGTAGTGCCAGAATCATTTACATGAGCTTTGAATCTGTGTTTGTTTTGCCTGTTATTAGATAGGATATTATGAGCACAATATCATCATGGGGATCTAGTTAATCTGTGTTCAAACTGACCAGATTAGTTTAACCCACAGTGGCATTAATGTGCCAAATGGCTGTTATCATATTTTCCTCAATAGTTCCACATTTTTTTCATTATCCCACATATGTGAACAAACCAAGATTGAAATGACCAGAATGACAGAATTGAAGTTAAGAAGTTGTTGTAATTTACCAGAATTTAAAAATGAAAAGGAAAAGCTTTGTAAGTGCAATCAGCTAGCACATAATGCTTGATTGCTAGTTTGCAGTGCAGTTCCTGTAGCTCACAATGTCACAGTAATGGGTTCAATCTCGTATACTGATAAAATACCTTGAATGCCCTTAAGTTGCTTCAGATAAAATCACCTGGAGAATGAATAACTGTAAATGCATTGTGCACAAGGCCAAGCAGGGTTAATGTATTGCAATCTGGTGCGTTGTAGGCGATGGATTTAGGTTTGCCTGTTTTAGCGAGGGATGTTCCTGGAAATGCTGCAATAGTCGAGCATGAGGTCACAGGACTGCTGTACTCAAGCCCTCAGGTAAGATTTACAAAGGTTTGGATAATCAGTGAGAGCTTAATTTTAATGCAGTGAAATCATATCACAGTTTGATTTGTTTTTTTTTCATGGAGACATTTATGTATACATTTTGTATTTTACAAAAAAAAAAGGGAAGAAATTGTTGAATAAAGTCATTATTTTTGTTTTCTTTGCGCACATGAATGGCATTAATCAAATTAAAAACAATGGGGGGAAAATTATATAGTATATACACAAATATTTATGTATTTTGAGAGTGAAGGGAAACAGACTTGTGATTGGTGGAATTTTATGTACAGCATCATGGGTAATGTAGTTTTTCACCACTAATTCTGTTATTAAACAATTATTTAAAAAAATAAGTTGAATTAATGCAAATAAATGGGTTCAACACAAGCATATAACAACCTCAGAGCTCAGAACTGGTCTGTCTTTAAAGGTTTATCAGTTATTGTTAAAAATCAATTTCCCTATGGAGAAAATATCTTTACTTTCGGAAGCTGACTGTTGTGCTCTATGCAGAACACTTGAATTTATGAGAAAAAAGAAAGTGTAGATTCTAAGTGTAGAATGATAGAGGGTGAGTAAATGTTTTAATTTTAACATAATACATAATTTTGACTCTTGATACTTTAAACTTGCAAGTTTACATATTTTTTCTCAAAATCTTTTTTCGGCATTAAACGTTGCTGTAAAAGGGAGAGTAATGTTGACTTCCTCTTCTTAGCACCATCTCTATATGCTGGTGACTAAGCTTGATCTTGTTTTGGATCTTTAGGGGGAACAGACAGATTTAGCGATCATTGTACTGCCATGCTAAACGGCTAAGAGGAGCCCAAGGCAGCTTAAAAGGTCAAAGGGCAAAACTTCTATCCCTAAACCAATCTGCTCCTCTGAGCAATTTCCAAACATCTATTTATCATGCTTATCTCAAATGTATTAAAAGCAATAGCGGATCTGAAAATCTGATGTCTCTAGAGAAGCACAGAAAATTGTATATGAAAACGTTGATGTTTGTTTGCAAGTCAGGGCGATTGTGACCATTTGGATGCACCATGTGCCCCTCTATACACCTGTGACCTATGCTAAGCTTTGACCACTAATTCAAAGAGCTGTACAAGCCTCTCTTTTCAGTCTTGATCAGTAGGTCAGTGTGCTACAGTTCGACTCACCTGCTATGCAGTTTGCATGATGCCATTTGGAGGATTAAAAGCATTACTATAGTGGTAAAACACACTTACTATTGTGCCACTAAATGGCACAGTGATAGAATCTGGTTATAATTTCACACATTTCAAATACAGATGAAATGGCAACATACACTACCTTTCAGAAATTTGAAGTTGGTAAGATTTATTTGTTTCAATGTCTTTGAAAGACGTCTCTTAAAAACAGTAATATTGTGAGATATTAATCGTTTTCTATTTTTCTATATATATTATAAAATGTAATTTATTCCTGTGATGGTAAAGCTGAATTTTCAGCGTCATTACTCCAGTCTTCAGTGTCACATGATTCTTCAGAAATCATTCTAATATGCTGATTTGCTGCTCGAGAAACATTTCTTGTTCAGTTGTGCTGCTTTATATTTTTGAAACTGTAATAATTTTATATTATTTCAATTTCTTTCCAAAAAACTGCAGCCTGGTAGGGCTTCATATGTGGTTTAAAATCCAATTAAAATAAGATTTTTAATAATCTGTCAGCCTGAATGATCAGATCTGATTTATTTATTTATTTGGCATTTTTTGTGATATGTCAGGTATTGCAGCAAGAAAACTGCATTAAAACATATACCAGCTTTGCATACCAGCTTTTCCTGTTTTTCATGCTGTTCAGATTTGGATACTGCCCTAATAAAAAAAAAATCATGGTGAATCAATGCTACAGCCTCGTGCACAGTGAACCTGTGCAAATGTATTGTTATCATGATAAGCTGTGGACGCACTGACAAAAAAATAATATAAAATAATAATCAGATCTGGCCACATATAACTTACAGTTTGAAAAGTCAGATTTAAGAAAAAAATCTGTCACAAACGCCCAAAAACTGTCACTTTCTTCTGTCATTTAATTAACCTAGAAGCATTTTTCTTCTGATTTCTTAGTGCCAGATATTTGTTTAAACTTGTCCAGCATGAGTCACATCTGTGAGCCTTGACCTCTGCCTTTTAAGTAGCTAAATGAGAGGTTTAAGACTGGACTTTATTTTGTGGAACAAAGAGCCCCGTTAAGGCTTAAAAGATCTCTGATGATTAGTTGTGCTTCACTACATGAAAAAAGTCAGGTCTAGTTCTCTACTTCCATTAAATTGATCAAATGTGACAGTAAAGACATATAAAAGGTTTCAAATAAATGCTGTTCTTTTGAACTTACTATTCATCCAATAGTTTTTTTTCCCACACAAAAATATAGCACAACTGTTTTGAACACTGATAATAATTCTAAAGGATCATGTGACTGATGACTGGAGTAATGATGCTAAAAAATTCAGCTTTGCATCACAGGAATAAATTAAATTAATAAAACTATTATTCTTTCAAAAACAATAAAAAAATCTTACTGACCCCAGACGTTTGAACAGTAGTGTATATCACCCTAAAGTGGTTGATTTGTTGACATTGATCAGCTGCAGGCACGTGCACAGGTAGGGCTCAACCTGTGCAGAGCACATGCTCAATTTATCGCAATCTCACGATTCCGTGAACTGCAAATAATATCTTATTTACATCGTGTCTATGTGTGGCGTTTAGCATTCAGTGTATTCTGACAGTGTCACCCTGTATCTATTTATACATTTCTTTATTAATATTTTAATATATTATCTTATATTAACCATTTGCTGCGTTTTTCAATCAATTTCTTGACTTATGAACAACACATTTTCGAACACGGTAAAAGCTCCTTGTGGTTTCTCGGTTTGTCCGATTTGAGCATCCATAAACAACGCAAAACACAGGCATTTGGAGTTTCTGCTAGTGACTTCTATGGAGAAAAATCACTTCCTGCCCTCCAGCTGCATTTCGCGTCTCATCAGAATCACGTGATTGCAAACAACCTATTGAGAATGAATGGGGGAAAATCACGTGCAAGAGTCTCCCATGATACCCGTGGATAAGAGTAAATAGCAGGGGGTCACTGGAAGCTGAAGGTGTTTTAAGTCGGGTTGAAAGACGAAGTTGCAACATGGGCAGTTGACATGTCAAGTAATTTCACTGTCCTCAAAGAATAAGGCTTGTATATTTTCATAATTCAGATAGACAGCCATTTTGTCCATAAATTTAAAATTATGCATTTATAATTGTTTTATACTACTATTCAAAAATGTTGGATCGGCTCACAAATGCTGGATTTTGACTTTAGCACAAAAAAAAACAAAAAACATTAAAATCTGTAATGAAATTATTTTTACAAATGTTTTACAAATGTCTTCAGTGTCACATCAGACTTAAAACATGATTCTAAGGAAACATTTCTTATTATTATCAAACATTACTTTATTCAATGTTCTTGTTTCTACAGGAATTTGTAAGCTTGTCCAGAAAGCTGCTGGATGACCGTGGGCTCCAGGAAAGACTGGTGAGAAATGGAAAGAATTACATTACAGCCTGCCACACCCCGATGAAGGAGAGAATAACCTATCAGAAACTGGTGGAGACTCTTTACTGACAGTATGATGGGATTAACACTTGTCTCAGGTCTTTAAGAACTTTAAAAAGGTGAGGGCTTTGTGCTCTTTCTAGAGCTTTTCAGACTGAATTGCATATTCCAGTCGGTTATGCAAGCCTCTCCCATGACTGCCAAGATAATGGTGGCCATGTGTCTGTAGAGTAAGATAAACAGGAAAAAATATATTTATAGGACATGTTGACTTCTTATGCTTCACTAGGTATGAAAGGGACACACATTTTACTATACATTTACTCAGTTCTTAAATTACAATTTAGCAGGTCTTGGAACAAGGACGGGTGACAGATCTGGTACTTTTTCTTTTTTGAGGGGTAGTAATTTATCTAGAAGCGTGTGCCTGACATTCATTCGACACTGCAAACGGCCGAGCTCTTGCTGTGTGCACAGACAGCTGCATGTTTGCAAGTGTTTGCGTTCTACTTTTGTTGTGTTGTGTTTGTTTGTAGTGACGATTGGGTATAAAAGTGCCAGTGTTACCACAGTGGTTGTGAGTGTTCTGGGTTAAAAAATGTGTTGACATTACTTCCCTAGAAAGAAAGATTCTTACTCCTTAGGAGGATTTTAGCTTGAACTGAACAGACAGCTTGCATTCATGTGTACATACTGCATGTGATATGACATGACAGGCAAGACATATGATAAACTAAAAACGTCTGAAATGTACTATACTTGATTTTTCTAAACAAATGTAAGGTAAAATAGATGCAGAATCCAGTTTCAGAGGTGCTACATTTAGCTTGTTTGGTACAAATTACGCCCTGTTTTTACTGTAGTAAAAATTAGAGCTTTAAAAATTTTAAACTGTGTCAAGGCTGAGATTTACAGGCTTAATACACTCCAAAGACAGTTATCTGTTAGTCTTAAGCTGATTCAGCTGCCAAACTGGTTTTTCTCTAAAGCCCAGATGAAGAACAGTGATGCTCTTTGTACAATAAATTAAACACAAGATTGTTTTTATGGACACATTTTACTCTTCGGAGGATTTTTAATTTATTCATGAAAGTTACTTTGTTCAGGGATTAAGGTTTGTTTTGAGGTTTTGCTAAACATATTATAAAATATTTATTCTGTTTGTAACTAAGACTGTATGTCTCAAATCTTAAACCATGACTTTCTTTGATTGTATCTACATTTCTTTCAATTTCGTGGCACAATAAAATATACTGTAAACACTTGTATACAAACTTTTTGTTGAATTTCAGTTCAACTATAGAGGTAAAATATATACGTACATTAATGGTGCTCTGAACCCATGGACATTTTTGGCCTGTGTGCTCTCAGCCATATGTTTGCACCAGAATATTGTTATATTGTGGGAAAATTGGCCAACTCCAACTTCTCCGGTTTTGTATGGGTAAGCGCCACTCATTTTCATCAGAAAATGTAAAATATGTTTTTATTACTACTATTTTCATTTACCACCACACATGAAGCAACAAAAAATATTATTTTTGCCAATATGAAAACCTGGGACACGCCAACAGTGCTTTATATTTGAGTATTGAAAGATAACAGATTACAAAAGATAAAAACCACCATTTATTTGTAATGAAATGGTTTCCATTTCTTATCATAGCACAAAGCACTGAATGTGGCCTTATCGTGTGGCTTTTTAATGGAAAACGAAACAATTGACTGTACATACAAATGCAGGGTAGTAAAATATCTTCAAACACAGTGAACTTTTATCTGTACAATAATCACATGCACTTTTGTATAAAAAAATGGAAGGATGCAGAGTAGCAGTCAAACAGAAGATATCAGTGTAATGAAGTGTTATCTCAGAGTTTGGCTTTATAGAAAGAATGACAATTTACTAAATCTTTAAATCCCCCAATGAAAACTCATTGACTCACCTTTCCCACCCAGTTAATTCCATGTCCATTCTCTTGTGGTAAAGTTTTGGGAGGAGTTTGCCGATCCAAGGATGTGAAGGTGGTGAACTGGACCCTTTTCCTCTTACTAGTGGGTGAATGTAGGGATTCACTTCGGACTGGTTTTGCTTTAGGGGATCCTACACATGAAACATTAGAGTAATTTAATACAGAAGACACCTGGCAAGAGGTCCTTTGGGTGAGAGTGCCACAAGGCTCCATATTGGGTCCTATGTCGATCACAGACGTATTATGAGCATCCTGCTCTAATGGGCTTCCAGTGACATTCATAACCAACTCAGCATCTGTTCCCAGCCAGACCCAGTCATGCCGGTGACCAGTCTGCTCAGAAACTTGACCAGGTGTCTGCTTGTGCCTAAATTTAACCAAGTATGACACACAGTTTACCATAAATACTATGATAGCCAAGCAGAAGACTCCAAGTAATGCATACATCCCGATCTCCAGGTCCGTAAGTGGACGGTTTGATAGTGGTCCCTTACTCTACAGACACATGGGGGGGGGGGTACTTTTAATAATCCTCAAAAATAGCAAGATTGTGTTCTCTCCCTTTTATCATGACCAGTGATCAAGGCAGAATCAATATTTCACAAAGTCTAGTCACAAAGAAAATGTCACACCTGTCCTTATGAAAGCCATGAAGCTGTACTGATTATCTTGACCATAATCCTGTGAAGCACAGACCAACAGAACGACTTTTCCAAAGAAAGAAGGCATTCAGGTTCCCGTGTCATTATTGTTGATGCTGCTGTTTTCAGGACGTTTGCTGTTTGTCTGGAACTTTACCGTTAAGCTCCCAGTGCCTACAGCTAAAGTGCTTTTGCGCTTGGATTTCTGACAAACCTCACAAATGGTCATCTCGGCTCTCACCAGTGTTCCTTGGCCTTCACCTTCTGCCACAATAGTCATAGGTGAGTCCTGCACAGAGATCACACCCTCATCCAGCGATGTCACAGCCAGGCGGTAGTGAGTAGGATCATAAATGTCCAGTGGGGTGAGGGAGCCATCGCTAAATTGTAGCCAGGAGCTCAACACTGCCTCCTGCAATGAGAATAAAATTGAATTTTGCTATGTCCTGCATTTTGCCTTGCACATATAACGTGAAGCAAGGACACCATAAAACAAAATGTTACCTTTTTTATTTTTTTTGCTATGGTACCAAAAATGGTATAGAGAACCATGGAATTTGGCACCAACTACCGACAGAAATGTTGGTATTGTGACAACACTGATACAGTGCTGGGTAGATTACTTATGAATTGTAGTTCGTTACTGATTCCAAATTACATAACAAAAATTGTAGTTAGTACCATAATCTATGACATTACACATTTGAGATAATATAATCTGACTACTTTTTGATTACTTTTTGATGACTTCTTGAAAAATAACTGTAGTCTGATTTCAAGTATTTTAAAATGTAATATAATCTAATTTAAGTACTTTATTTTTGGAATCTGATTACGCAATTTATATAATATTTATGCACAGTATAAATTTATTATGTACAAGATAACTAGCCCTAACAGTAAAGCTTTATGGCTAAATTAGCAATCATTTTACTTCCAACCTGTTACCAATTTTTAGGTTTTAAATGTAAAAATATCAACTTTATCAATTTTAATTAAATATTTATTTCTTGAAAGTTGTAAAATCACACAAATCAGTGTTTTAGACATTTATAGATGCCCCAAATTTTGGTTAACGATAAAGAAAGTGCTGTTAAATGACCTGTTTAGGATTGATGAGCACTTCCTGTGTGGTTGCCGTGGCGCTGATGACTCGGTTACTTCCTGTGCTGAGCTGCAGGCAGTCCTCACTGCTCCAGCCTGGTTTGCTGTCAGGGACATGCAGATGTTACCGACAACCCACTTTTAGTCATGTAATTCCATCTGTCACCTTTCATGGTCTTCATAACAGCTTAGGTAAGGCCTCATTTGGAAATTAAACCACACGCACATATTTATATAATTAAAATAATGTTCAAAATGCCTTCAGACAAGTTCAAATCAGTCATGAGCACACATTGGATAAAACTGTGAATTAATGAGGGGGTGATTCTGCCCCATGTAATCCATTATGCAACAGTATATTTAAACTACTCATAATCTTACACAATCTTATTCACAATTTTTCAACATTTCATAATCTACTTGACCCTGTCTGAATGTGGATTTAAAATTTAAAAGCATTTTCTGGCTATGTTCTAACTCTCACAAATGGATTGTGTTAATGCTTTTTTTCTCTTTTCAGAGATCTTTACAATCAATGCAATCATTTTTATATTACATATATTATATTATATATTACAACTATTGTCTTTTACATGTCTTGCAAATTTCAGATTATTCCCTGTTAATGTAACCCATATCTATTACAGATAATGTATGTAAATTAGGGTATTAAAGACACTCCAAGCTAGTAGTTAAACTTTTTGACTCAAAGGTCCCCCATATTGGCTAGGATATTTCATCTGATATAACTGCTTTAATTATGACAGTTTAAATTATTATTTTTATTAGCAGAAATGTTTACATCTTTGTTTTTGTTTTTTTTCCTGTGGCCCTTTTAGAAGTTTAATGAGGCCCCTATTTTGATAACAACTGTTCTAAGCATTGCCACAAAAGAAAAGAACGTAAAAAGAAAGCAACAGGTAAGTACATAAAAAAAAAGTACAAAGAGATTTACAAAAGAACAAAAAACAATGTCCAGGCAGACAGGATACTTAAATGCATTGTAAGCTGATTACATTTACATTCCTTTATTCATTTTTCAGAATAAATGCTAATCACAATATAGGCGTTAACTAGAAAATGTGCATTTGAATGTGATCATTGTGTTTTTGTACCTTTTGGTGGACAGGATGGGGATCCTCCAGCTTTTGATCTGACTCAGCTCTGTATCAGACACCTCTATAACCAGCGGCAGACGAGGGAACCACACTTTCATCTCCAGCTGAGCGCTCAGGTAACTGTAGGTGAAGTTCACCAGCATCCACAGTCGCCCCTGGGTTTCTTTTCCATTCACATAAACAAAGTCGCATCTGTCGGACACCTGAGGGCATCCAAAAATGTTGTTTTATGTTATTTATAACTCTGAATTAACAGGCTGTTCACACTGTAGTTTTCATGTTCTACTGGATTGGAATGGACTTGTGTAAGAGGATTTGTTGGTACTTAGTCCCAGTAAAAACATGACTTTTGAGACCAAGTATAATTTAGGTTCAGATCAACATTTACAGTTTTTTCAACTGCTTGAGACTGAATTGCTTTAGTAGTTATTTCCTTTATTAATGAACCCAATTTGAAAGTTAGAAATCTACAGCAAAATGAAGATCCTTGCTTACTCTATGGCTCTTATACTGCATTTTCAGTGTAACTTTTATATGTTTACTGTCAGTTTTTGAATATAATGCATGGCATTAGAAGTCTCAAAGTCACTTAACATTTCAGCATGGGCTTACCAAATGCATGCCGCCACATTATTAAATCAATTGTATCATTTATGATGCAAGATTGAGGAAGGCATGCAGGGGTGACTTTGTCTGACATCCTGGTGTGGAAGAGCAAGTTTGCTTAGCCTAAACAGGTAAGAGGATATGTACTTATAGGTTAAAGGGATAGTTCACCCAAAAATGAAAATGACTTTTTATGATGGATGTATGCACTTTTTTGGGCTTCATAGTATCGACCACCATTCACTGCCATTATAAGGATTGGAAGAGCCAGGATATTTTTTTGATATACCTCCGATTGTATTTGTCTTAAAGAAGAAAGTCATATACACCTAGGATGGCTTGAGGGTGAGTAAATCATGGGGTAATTTTCATTTTTGGGTGAACTATCCCTTTAATGTGTATACTGTATGTGTCACTATGGCTTGTGTTGATTGGCAGTTTTAGACATGCTAAGCTATAAACACTAGGATTATTTACATATACAGGGTTTACATGGATAGCAAATGACATGTTTATGGATGCATAAGATGTCAGAATCCATAATACAGTATTTATGTTTTTTATCCTATTAGTCGACAGACATGGACCCAGTGCTGCGGATTTCCACAGAATATAACATCCGTTATTGACAAAGTCCTATCTATCTTCTATATCTTGCATGTTAATATACAAATATTAAATAAAAAAGAGAACAAATATTCTATTTTGTATCTTATTAATATTATTTTTTATTTTAATACAAATTTTACATTTCATAGTGTTTTATGCATTTTTATATTTATTCCAAAATAATAACTAAAGGCAGTAACAATTTGAACAATATTTTGGAAACAATTTACAATAATGTTTCATTAGTTAACTACTTTAGTTAACATGAACTAAGAATAAACAATAGCCTACTTCTACAGCATTTATTAATCTTAGTTAATATTAATAATTTCAGTATTTACTAATGCACTATTAAAATCAAAAGTCGTGTTTGTTAACATTAGTTTATGCACTGTGAACTAACATGAACTAACAATGAACAGTATTCGTATTAACTAATGTAAACAAAGATTAATAAATACTGTAATAAATGTTCATTGTGTGTTCATGTTAGTTAACTCATTAAATCAAACCTTATTGTAAAATGTTACCAATATTTT